GTGTGTGTGTGTGTGTGTGTGTGTGTGTGTGTGTGTGTGTGTGTGTGTGTGTGTGTGTGTGTGCTGAAGGTCAACAGACGATCATGCTAAGCTTGCTAACTGTTCCACCCTCTGACTGCTGCAGGGGCGTGTCTTAGAGAGAGGCTTTTATACCAGAACACAGCCGCTGTGACGAAACCGTGGAGAAGACACGTCATCGTGGAGAGCCGTTAACCAATATGCAAATTAGCCTGCAGTATCACTGCTCTACCCATATGAGCAGCAAAAACACATTTTTAGACCAAATATTACAGATTTAAACAAATACGCACAAAAACATCAAAATTAGCATAGAAACAGTACTATATAACATTTTAGACACATTCTAGACAGTTTATCAGCTAAAAAAAAGTTAATTTGGGGGTAAGTTACTCTTTAAAAACCATCCAAAGGTTTGTAGGATATTTTGCTAACAGACAGGAAGAGTTAACTCAAATCATCAGTGGCAAAGTTATGTTTTGGGGATTGTTTTTTTTTTTTTTTTTTTTTTTTTTTTTTTTTTTTTTTTTTTTTTTGGCTACCACCACACCTGATTTTAGCTCAATATCTGTAAAATTAACTGAGTTACAGATATTTTAGGTCTTTGCTTTGCTGTGGTGGCCATCTTGTTTGTGGCTGTTTTTATTTTTTTAAAAAAAAGGCTAGTTTAGTCATTTCATTGGCTAAAACACAAATAATAATTAAAATCTATGCGTGCTAGCAGGTTTCGTGTCTCTGAACTCCACTCATTTTGCGCAGCAGTTTTTGGGGGAAGAGGAGCAGAATGAAACATGGAAACTCACCGTTTCTGGGTCGTTTTCAAAGACCTCCCTGGCCTCCTCCTTGCTGCACCTTTCCTCCACACACTCCCTCTCCAAGTGTCCTTGCTTCGTCTCCTCGAAAACTTGATTCGCTCTCCGGTGTCTGCTCAGGAACTGGTTCGCCTCTTCGGGGGACATCAAAACTACGAGAAGCAGGAAGGTGGGGCGAAAAAAATAAATAATAAATAAATAAAACAAATTAACAAGTTCGCTAACCTTCACGAAGAGACACGACGAGCTAACTGTCAAAACTATATTAGCCAGCTAGCTGAGCTCGCGACAGGACTAGCATGTCAGTGTTTACTTACAGCTGTCGGAGCAGCGCGCCGCAAGGATTAACACCAGCAGGGCAGCCGAGGAGAGCCACCTTTTCTGGGTCAGCCGCATTGTTGGAGACCGCTGAAAGCCCGGGGAAAACTTTGTTAAGGTCCGCAGGTACGGTCAGGTAACCGTTAGCAGCTCCTCTCTCGCAATGTTTGTTTGATGTGTTAAAAACAAAAAAGAAATCAGTGCGCGAGCTCACCAAAAACAACAACAACCACGCGGGCAGTTAATGAAATAAAAATAAAAATTACTCGACCCGTTTGTGGTTCGGTTCGGCTGAGCTCGTTCCCATGATAGCGGCGGTGTCTGCGTGTGTGAGTTAAAGCGGACCGGGTCTCAGCAAGACAGGAGTTTGTAATGATGCAGTTTTCATCCAGTCACCTTCATCACTACCGAATCCCGCCCCCTTTTTTTTGTGTGGGTGCGTGTGTGCGCGCGCACACACACACACATACAGAATAAAGTAAAATTATGGCACTATAATTAAATTTGTTTTAATAAATCTACAGAAACTCAAAGCGGCCATGTTTGTTTTTTATTTCACGTATTATTGTGCAAAAAAAATTTAAACAACCTCTTCAATGTATGGAAGCTCGTTTCTGCCACAATGGAAAAAATAAAATAAACGGAGTCAATACGGAGCACTGTGGAAGCCCATTTCCGCCACCCTGATAAAAAATAAAACTTGTATCTCATAATTATGAGATAGCTAAGTCATAATTATGAGATACTATCTCATTATTATGAGATAGTATCTCATGAGATACTATCTCATAATTATGAGATACTATCTCATATCTCATAATTATGACTTAGCTATCTCATAATTATGAGATAGTATCTCATAATTATGACTTAGCTATCTCATAATTATGAGATACTATCTCATATCTCATAATTATGACTTAGCTATCTCATAATTATGAGATACTATCTCATATCTCATAATTATGACTTAGCTATCTCATAATTATGAGATACTATCTCATATCTCATAATTATGACTTAGCTATCTCATAATTATGAGATAGTATCTCATAATTATGACTTAGCTATCTCATAATTATGAGATACTATCTCATAATTATGAGATAGCTAAGTCATAATTATGAGATAGCTAAGTCATAATTATGAGATAGTATCTCATAATTATGAGATAGCTAAGTCATAATTATGAGATACAAATTTTATTTATTTTTATCAGGGTGGCGGAAATGGGCTTCCATAGCGCACGTCTTGTGACACTGGATTAAAAAAATGTGTGCCATTTATGAGGTGGTTAGATTTTTTTATTTATTTATTTWTTTTAGATTTTATTAGCCTTTGTTGTCCCACAGAGGGTAAGTTGATTCTCTGCATTTTACCCATCACACATGCGAACACACTTGTGGAGCAGCGGGCTGCCACTTACAGAGCCTGAGGAACGGCAAAGGGCCTTGCTCAAGGGCCCAGAGGTAACGTGTGGGCACAAGTTAATAACAAGCGTGCACAAGATGATTAATGCATAGCCACTAAATAATAATGCCTGGCTATGACATGGTTAAAGCGTGGCCATGAGATAATGCATGGATACGTGATATAACTTATGGATACAAAATAATGCATAAGCACAAAAAAAATATTCCTGGCTATGAGAAAATTAATGTGTGTCCACAAGACAATAATGTGGCCACCAGATAATAATGGGTGGGCATGAGATATTTAAGCTGTAGCCACGAGATACTAATGCATGGTCATGAGATAGTTACATGCAAGATAAAAATGTGTGGGTACAAGGTAGTTAACACGTGGCCACGAGATAACGAGTGGGCACAAGTTAATAAGTGTCCACAAGATAATTAATGCATAGCCACAAGATAATTCTGCCTGGCCATGAGATGGTTAAGGYGTGGCCATGAGATAATAACCCATGGACACATGATATAACATATGGACACGAGATAATTAATGCATAAGCACAAGAAAATAATTCCTGGTTATGAGAAAATTAATGTGTGTTCACAAGATAATAACATGGCCACCAGCTAATAAAGCATGGCCACAAGATAATAATGGGTGGTCATGAGATATTTAAGCTGTAGCCACGAGATACTAATGTGTGGCCATGAAATAGTAAATGCGTACATGCAAGATAAAATGTGTGAGCAGAAGGTAATGTGTAGCCACAAGATAATAATGTGTGGCCATGAAATATTTAATGCGTGGGCATGAGATTTTAAAAACATAATAATTAACAACACAATAGAACTTAGAACATAGAACTTTTAATTAACGACATAACTTTTATAACCAAAACCACGAGACAGGTTCTGTAGGATTATGAGATGACAAGCTTATATTTGCAAGTTATTTTTTATTATTAATTGAATTCCATAGGCATAATATTAAATTTTATATTATAACATGGATTTTAATATTATTTAGATGCTAAATCCTATTTTTGGGATAGTATAGCATGATTTTTAAACACAGTCAGATGTTTTTTTAAAAGTTAGACTTATGAAATTCTCAGACATATTTACCAGGGCTCTCATATTTTTATTTTCTATTCCTAAAAATCTGAGTTTTTGTAAGAAACGTGTCATCTATAGTAATATTCTGTAAGTAAAAACGCTCACTCATTCACTCTCTAGTGCAATTCATTTTATGTTTCATTTACGCTGAATCAAAAATTGTCTTTCATTTTCACATACTTCTGCTTTTATCTAACTGGATATCCTTCACATTCACATTTCTGGAATTAGGCAATAATGACAAAAGCATGAGCATGTCACAGCCTGGCCATTAGTGACCATTTGTTTATTTTTCTACACAAATGCATCCACATGTTACTAACACACTGTTTAAATTTACAGAGCTCAGCTCTTTACCAAAGTTTCCTGGAAAATCTTTAACTTATTACAACAAACTTCTAAAATTACAGCTTCCATCCAGCTTTTGTTGAGACCAAAAACAAATAAACAACCTGAACAAAAATACTCAAAAGGCAAATAAAATAACACCGTATGGAGGGAAATGCACGTTGTCTTGAGGGCTGGTTTAATTTTTTAAATTGGGGTCACTTCCTGTGGAGGTTCAGTCCTTCGGGGTGGGTCTCACGTGTGGAGACGGGAGGACAGGAATGAGACTTGATGCTGTTGTGTTTGCTGAGAGCTTCGTCAAAGTCCAGCTGCTGGCCGTTGATGGTGACGTCCATGCAGCCGTGGTAGAAGGCTGACACGGGGGTGGCATGTAATGGGACGTTATCTGAAACACAGAGGTGACCGTCAGGAAAATATTTTTATTCCAATATCAACATCAGTGAAAATGGGTTAGAGAAAAATTGAAGAACTGTTTCGAAGTTGCTCAGAGTGGGAAAAAAGTAGCTGAAAGCCTCAACAAGTCCTCATTTCTGTTTTTATTTTCTTTTTGTTTGGGGAAAGATGTTTAACACAGAAATAAACTGTAGCTACCAGAAAAATGTGTTTAATCTGTTTTTATCCATTAAATTTGACTTTTTTCTATTTAAAATGACAGCAGATTTCAAACACAAACTACAGAAATAAATATAAAAGTACAGTATGCTGAGCGCTGAATGATGGCTGAAGTTTGTAAAAAGAAGCCAAAGCAGAAATGTTAAAGATAAAAGAAGCAAAAGGATAGCTAAATGTAACAAATGGGTGGCTAAAAGCTAATTGTAGCAAAATGTTAGCTTAAACCTATATGTAGGAATAGACTGGCTAAGAGCTAAAAGTGGTAAAAGGCTAGCTAAGAGAGCTAAATTTGTTAAAAGRCTAGCTAAGAGCTAAAAGTGGTAAAAGGCTAGCTAAGAGAGCTAAATTTGTTAAAAGGTTAGCTAAGAGCTAAAAGTGGTAAAGGGCTAGCTAAGAGCTAAATTTGCTAAAAGGCTAGCTAAGAGCTAAATGTGTTAAAAGGCTAGCGAAGAGCTAAAATTGATCTATTTAAACACAAACTGTTAGCTACAATAAGTAAAATAATAACTAGAAGCTAAAAGAAGAAAAGCACTAGCTTAAAAACAAAAAAGTAATTATACCTACAGGCTTGCTCAATGCTAACTGTAGCAAAAGAGCTAAATGTACTAAAATGTTAGCTAAGAGCTAAAAGTGGCAAAACACTAGGTAAAAGCTTAACTACAACAAATTTAATAGTACTTAAAGGCTAGCAAAATGCTAAATGAAACAAAAACCTAGCTAAAACCTAAATTTAATAAGAGACTAGCTAAAAKCTAAATGCGGTTAAAAGCTAGTTGACAGCTAAATGTGGTTAAAAGCTGGCTAAGAGCTAAAAGTGACAAAAGGCTACTTAAAAATAGCAGAAAATTAACTAGATGCTAAAAAAGCAAGACACTAGCTAAGCTTAAATGAAACACCAAGTAACTGTACCTAAAGGTTAGGTAAAATCCTAGAAGTAGCAAACAGTAGCTTAAAGCAAAAAGTAGCAAAACAGTAGCTAGAAGGTAAAAGAAGTTACCAAAAAGATAAAATAAATAAATAAAGCTATAAAAAGTAGCAAATAGCTAGCTAAAAAAGCAAAGACCTAGCAAAACATTTAAATAATGGTAGCTGGAAGTTCCTATAAGTAGCAGAAAGCTAGCTAAAAGGAGCGGCTACCTAAAAGAAAAAGTAGCCAAAGTGACACTGATTCTTGATTTGTTTTAACCCTCTGTTTATGTTTAGTAAAATAATAGTAGTCACAATTTAACAGAAAAAAAAACTGGCTATGTGTAAAGAAACTAGTTTTGAAATACCTAATCCAGAGGATTTGAACCCTTCTGTGCTCCTGAGCCAAACTGTTTTTTTTTTATTCAGCCAAAATTGAAGCTAAACGTAGCAATAGGCTAGCTAAATTAAAAGTTACATAGGAAGAAAAACAGTAGCAGATTTCAGAGAACAATGTTGTAGAAACTGAATAATTTATTTTCTATGTTATATTAAATATCTTAAGTATTCACCCCCTTACATTTATGGTTTTATTGTTGTCATAAATTGGTAGATTTAAAAAAAAATCTTTAACAAATAATTTTGTTTAATAAATTGATGCTGAGACTCGAAACTAAAATGCGAGAGTTGATCTAACCTGGGATCCCGCCGACATAAGTGCTGATGGGGTTCTGCATGGTGGCGTTGAGGCGCTCCAGCACCTCCTGCATCGCCCCTGACTTCATGTAGGAGACAGTGGAGGAGTTCGCCGAGATCCGAACCTTCGTCGGCGTCACGTTCAGGTGMACGGCGAGCCGGTCAGGGTAACAGAGCATCAGCGAATCCAGCCTCGCCACAGAGACGCCATCCAGAAACACTTGCAGGTTCTAGAGGAAGCGCCTCCGGTTAGCGTCACAAGGTTTTCGACAACATTTTTAAAGGAAAAAGCAGGGGGTGGTCTTACCGCATCGTCTTCCCCCTGCGTTACCACTGCTACCGACAGTGGCACGGTGTCGTTGTAGACTAGAGCGAAGAGCACACCGGAGCTGCTGGACGGACGGATGTTCATGGTCAGGTCCACGTTCCAGCTCCCAGAATCACCTGCATGCCCACAGAAAAGCACAAAACAACCAAAATGTTCAGATCTATGGCTGGTTCAACTGCAGCTATGCTTAGAGCTTTGTAACAATTCACATACGATTGAACTTACTCACTGTAGTCTACGTGGAACTGCGCCAGTCCTGCCCCGGAGAAGTACGACCCTGGCTCCACGTACACGAAGCAGTGCTTGCTCTTCTTCTCCTGGATGACCTCCTTCACCCCGGACGCCCCTTGGTTCATTAAGTTCCAGCCCCGGATGCAGCCGTCGAGCCGAGGGTTGATCTGACAAACAGAAACAAAGCAGTTCGCATAAAAATAACAGCCGACCGATGTGTTGCAGAAATATTTGTTTCTTTTGATCCAGCTGGAGTCACGGTCATGAGCAGTGCTTGCTCAATCATATCAGTCCACCTGCAATGTGGTCTTGGTCCTTCGATCTCCTGTGGATCCTGTTCGTGACGCCAAATTGTTGTGGAAAATATTATTTACCCAAGACAGAAACACATGAACCAAGAATAAAAGTACTCCGTGGAATGGTCAACAGGATTTATTGCATATGCAAGACACACATTCCATGTATCACTGGCCTGTGTGACGTGTCTTGCATATGTTATAATAAATAATAAATAATAATAAATAATAAATGTTATAATAAATAATAATAAATCATGTTGACCATTCCACTAAGTACTTTCATTCTTGGATCACGTGTTTCTGTCTTGGGTAAACAATATTTTCCACAACACGATGCGAACGTTTCGTGGGCGATTTGAGCGGCTTACGGGCTTGATGATGTTGTTGGTGCGGTTGGGAAGACCGGCGATGTAGACTTTGGTCTCCAGTTTGCCGTTAACTGAAGCGAAGAGGCTCTCTGGGCTGTTAATGCTCATCACTGCCTCTTTACTGATCTTCACGCTGATGCTGCTTTCCAGTTCATCCACGGAGATCTGTCACACATCGACGATATATCATAACATGTTCGTCCGTGTAGCTAAACCTTCAGGATGCAGCATCAGTTCAATTTACACAGTGCTGGGCACAGCTAACCAACAAGTTAGCATTGTTAACTCATAATACGTTTACTAAAAATATCATTTCACTAACACTAAATCGCTGAACATGTAAAAAAAATGTAGCTAATGCTAACACCCAACAACTAAGACAACTGTCACTCAGTCTTCATCACACGTTAGCTTGTTAGTTAGCAGTTAGAGACCTAAAGCTGGGAAAACCTAATTTAGCAGAAGCTAATTGGTATGCTAATGGTTGTTTTCAGTGCTGGGCACAGCTAACCAACAAGTTACCGTCGTTTTGCTAGCACTAAATCATTAAACGTAAAAAAACAAAATGTAGCGAATGCTTTTGCTAACACATAACAGCTAAGACAATTGTCAATCAGTCTTCATCACGTTAGCTTGTTAGTTAGCTGTTAAGAGATTTAAAGTTGACAAAACCTAATTTAGCAGAAGCTAACTGGTATGCTAATGGTTTTCAAAAGTAGTGAAAAAGCTATTCCACTAAACGAAAAATTAGTTCTGGTGTTAGCTGATTAGCAGAACCATGCTCCCCAGTGTCTGTTAAGTGGTGGGCAGCTAACCAACAAGTTAGCGTTGATAACTCATAATCTATACTAAAAGTATAGTTTCATTAACACTAAACATGTAAAAAAAGAATGAAAGGGAAGCTAATGCTAACTGCTAATTGCTAAGACAGTTGTCATTTAGTCTTCATCATGTCTTTGTCTCCTTCAACTTGAAGACTGGTGGGACTGATACAAACCTGTTGATGTTAGCTTGTCAGTTAGCAGTTAGGGGACTTAAAGTTGGCAAAACCTAATTTAGTGGAAGCTAATCAGCATGCTAATGGTTTTTAAAGTTAGTCAAAAAGCTATTCCACTAAACAAAAAATTTGTTCCAATGTTAACTGATTAGCAGAACCATGCCCACAAGTGTTTTTGWTCAGTGGTGGGTTAACTAAAAATATAGTTTTGTTAACACTCTATAGCTAAACATGTAAAGAAAAAATGTAGCAGAAGCTAATGCTAACTGTCTCCCTGGCCTTGAAAACCAGAGGGAATGATACAAACCTGTTGTTAGCTTTTAGCAGACTTAAAGTTAAAACCTAATTTAGTGGAAGTTAATCTGTCCCCTAACTGTTTCCAAAGTTAGCAAAACAGCTAATCTGCTAAATGTGAAACCATTTCTTTTATTAGCAAATTAGCTGAACTGTGGCTACCACTGCTTGATGTGCAGTAAAGTATTGGTATTTTCTTACCACGTGCCACTGCCCGTCATTAATGGCCTTTCTCCCAGTTGTAACTTTGACCGTATGCTGGTTTTTGAACTGGACTTCAATGCGACCGGCCCTCAGCCCCAACATGAACCACGAGTCCTGGGAAGACTCCGCGTACAAAATGATCCCCTCCGGGTCGTACGTTCGGAAGTCAAACTCAGCTGAAAACCTATCAGGGGCAAAAATATGATATTACACACAGATCTGTCCGAATCCATAAACCCACGAACACGTACTTTGTATTCTCCGGCAGGCGGAATAGCAGGTAGATGACAGGAAGTCCTGCAAACTGCTCCCCCAGGTAAAGCATCTCTGGGTGTTTGTAGTCATCCAGCTGCACACAGACGGGGATATGTTCGCAGCTTCGCTCATCTGCTCCCAAACGAAAACCTTCACGGCCGTCGCACTGACACTTGAAGCTTCCCACGGTGTTGTGACAGGCCCTTTCACACACGTCTGTACTGCATTCATTCACATCTGCAACAGCCAATGAGAAACGATGGATTTACAGACAGTTTGTATTTGAAAATATTTGAATTGTAGTACCACTGGTACATGTAAGCTAAGCTTTAGTCCCCATCAGGTTGTTTTTGATTCTATATAAACGAGGTTTAAAGGGCCTCACCGTCGCAGGATTTGGAGGTGAAGTTGTACTTGAATCCCGGGGGACACCTGCACTCGTACATGCCAGGTGTGTTCACACATTCTGCCGGTTTTTCACAGAGACTGGGGTACAACAAGCACTCGTTGATATCTGGAACACAGGATTCAAAGAAAGCAGCAAGTACTCAGCATGTACCAGCCAAGTACTCGCCATGTAGTAAGTAGTAAGTATCTGTATGTACCAGTTAAGTTTCAGGTAAGTACTTACTACTGAAATAAACCACCAGGTACACTGCACGTGTCAGGCCAGTACCTGGGGCATAATGGGTATGTAACAGATACATATCAGGTATTTACCCAGCATGTACCACTGCCATGTGTACCTGATAAATAAAAGGTAAGTACTAGGTAAATACCTGGGACAGACCCAGTATATACATGGCATGGTCAGGCAAGAGCATGGTATGTACCAAGTATGTATCAAATATTTGCCTGGTACGTAACACTATGTACTCAACATGTACTAGGCAAGTACCTGGTACATACCAAGTACGTAGGTTAGCATCCAGTTTTTACCAGGTAAGTACTAGGTAAATATCTGGCATGTGTTAGGCAAGTAACTATTTACCAGGTATGTATGAGGCAAGTATAAATTGTTACCTGGTATGTATCAGGTAAGTACCCGCTATGTACTCAACATGTACTACACAATCACCCGGTACATACCGGGTATGTAACCAGTATCAGGTAAGCATCCAGTTTGTACCGGGTAAGTACTAGATAATACCTGGCATGTGTCAAGTACCTGGTATGTAGTGGGTATGTGCCAGATATTTACCCCATATGTACCAGTCAAGTACCCTCTAGTACAAGTATGTGCTAAGTGTCAGGTAAGCATCCAGTATCTTCAAGGTAAGTACTAAGTAAATACCTGGTACACATCCAGTATGCATATAGCAGGTACATACCAGGTATGTAGCAAGTATTTACAAAGTATGTACCAGGTAAATACTGGCTATGTACCTGACATGTACTAGGAAAGTACACTCCAAATAGAAAGTATGTGCCCAGTAAGTGTCAGGCATGTACCCAGTACATATCTGGAATCTACTATGCAAGTACTCAGTGTATACCAAGCAAGTATCCAACATATAGCAAGTATGTATCCTGTAAGTATCAAGTAAGTACCCGCTATGTACTCTACATGTACTAAACAAGTACCCAGCATGTAGCCTACTAAGCAAGTACCATACAATCGTCAGTCAAGTACTCAGCTTGTACTAGCTAAGTACCTGGTACACACCCAGCATGCATACATGTATGTAGCAGGTACATAGCAGGTATGTAGCAAATATTTACCAGGTATGTACCCACTAAGTACCCAGTCAGTACCCAGTAAGTACATGTAAGTATCCAGTAAGTACTATGTTAAGTACGCAGTAAGTATGTAAGTACCAGTGAGTACATGTAAGTACCCAGTAAGTACCATGTAAGTACAAAGTACATGTTAAGCACCCAGTAAGTGCATGTAAATACCCAGTAAGTACATGTAAGTACCCAGTAAGTACCATGGAAGTACCATGTAAGTACCAGAAAGTACCATGTAACTACCCAGTAAGTACGTTAAGTACCCAGTAAGTACCATGTAAGTACCCAGTAAGTACATGTAAATATCCAGTAAGTACATGCAAGTACCCAGTAAGTACATGTTAAGTACATGTTAGTACCATGTAAGTATCCAGTAAGTACCCAGTAAGTACATGTTAAGTACCCAGTAAGTATCATGTAAGTACTCAGTAAGTAGATGTAAATATCCAGTAAGTACATGTAAGTACCCAGTAAGTACATGTTAAGTACCCAGTAAGTACCATGTAAGTACTCAGTAAGTACATATAAATATCCAGTAAGTACATGTAAGTACCCAGTAAGTACATGTAACTACCTAGTAAGTACATGTTAAGTACCCAGTAAGTACCATGTAAGTACCCAGTACGTACATGTAAATATTCAGTAAGTACATGCAAGTACCCAGTAAGTACATGTAAAGTACATGTAAGTACCCGGCACATTTTAATTCGGGCCTCCGCTGTTAGAATCGAGGAACGTTGACATGTTAAACTGATCTTTTCAGCGCCTCGAAAGAACAAATAAAGACAGTCAATCAAACTGAGTCCATGTTTGTGAAGACTTTGTCCTCAAAGACAAACAGTGACTCAGCCAAAAAAAAACAACAACTAAGCGTCAGCAGAAATAATGATTTAAAATAAACGGTCAGCAGCACTGAAACACTCAGAAATGTCAGACTGTGGGCACGTTTACAGCGAAGAAGAAAGCAAGACGGTTCAACCTTGAAGATGTTTCTGTCAACATTTTCTTATGTGTGTGTGTGTGTGTGTGTGTGTTGTGTGTCTGTGTGTGTGTTGTGTGTGTCGGTGTGTGTGTTGGGGGTGTGGGGTGTGGTATTTGCTCCCTGAGGTCAACAGCTGAAGGATCAGATGTGTTTTGAAGCAAACAGCTGAAACCACACTGAAGGATTGTCTTTTTCCAAATATGGGTCATTAAGCACAAAAAACAACAAAACAACAAAAAAACAACAACATTTAATTAATTCAATTAACCATCATCATCATCATCAGTGTGTGTCTGCGTGACGTCTTACCCACACAGTTGATGTTGTCGTTGATGAAGTAACCATCTTCACACATGCATCGAAAACTTCCCGGGAAGTTGAGACACTTTTGGTTGCATCCCGCCGTGAAGTAGGGATCGGTGCACTCGTCGATGTCTGTGTGCACGGCCGATTAATGATCTGGATTAATTAAYTAATGATCAATCAGTTGCTGATTTAATTAAAAATGGAGCCTCACCTTCCTCACAGCGCCGCCCCTTCCAGCCGGGCTTACACACACACGTGAAGGAGGCCTGGCCGTCCACGCAGCGCTCGGAACCATCCGTGCTGCACGGAAACGGCGTGCACTGGTTACTGATCTCTGACGTTAGACACACACACACACACACACACACACACACAGACACACACACAGGTGCTGAAAACCTTCACAGTTTGAACGGATCGTTAAAAACCTCAGGTGAAGCCTCTCACCTTTTACGCAGGTCCGAAGGTCAGACGGGATGCTCGAGTCGGAGTTCTGATTGTTGATGCCGACCCGATGGGAACCCAAACACACTGAAACCAAAAGTCCAGTTTGAGTCCAACAGAACCGATCAGATCAAATGACGAATAAAAAAATAAGTCATTTAGGAACTCACCAACATATCTGGGGTAGAAATACTCCTGGARAAAAGAGTAACAGACAGAACCAGAACTTTATTAAACGTCAGAAAATAATAGATATTTTTAAAAACAAGGGATTTAAAAGTAAAGGAGCCGAAAGAACGAGCTGGAGAAGAGATAAGAGCCAAAATGTGCTAGAGAAGCTAAAGCTAATTTTAAAACTAACTAAAACAAACACCAATTAAAGAAGTTACAAACAGCAAAGCTAAAGGCAGAAAAACAGTAACTTAAACCTGTTAAACACAAGCTAAAACCAGCTAAAACAGTAGCTAAAAGCTCAAACTAGCAAAACAATAAAGGCTGAAAATAGCAGAACTGCAGCTAAATGCTTAAACTAACAAAAAAGTAGCTAAACGCTAAAACTAGCCAAACAGTAGCTAAATCATGTAGTTAGTGGTTAGCAGTTAAATATCAGCTAAAAGGAAAAAAATTTAAAGCTAAAACTATCATAAAAGTGGCTAAATGATGTAGTAGTTAGCAGAACAGTTGATGAAAGCACAAAAGATCATCTAAAATTTAGATCATTTAATCGCAGCTAAAGGCTAAAATGAGCAAAACAGTAGCTAAAACCTAAAACTAGCAGAGGAGTAGCTAAATTCTGAAATTAGAACAGTAGCTGAAAGCTCAAGCCTGCAAAACTGCAGCTAAAGACTGAAAATGGCAGAAAAATGCTTAAACTAACAAAAAATAGGTAACAGCTAAACCTAGCAGAATGGTGGCTAAATGGTGTGGTTAGCAGTTAGCAGTTAAATAGCAGCTAAAGGCTAAAATGAAAAAAAAAATATAGCTAAAAGCTAAAACTAGCAGAGGAGTAGCTAAATGCTAAAGTTAGAACTGTAGCTGAAAGCTCAAGCCAGCAAAACTGCACTTAAATCCTATATTTGTTAAATAGCATACAAAATCTACAATTAACAAAACAATGGCTAAAATATATACAGTAAAACAGTGTCTAAAAGCTAAAACAAGCACAATAATTGCTTGAAGCTAAAACAACCAGTTAAGTTAAAGGTTAAAAGTAGCAGAACTACAGCTTCAGTACATGGTGAAGTTAGCAAAACAATAGCTAAATGCTTAAATAAGCAAAACACCATTAGTTAAAAAGTAGCTTAAAGTTAAAATGAGCAAAATAACAGCTAAAACTAGCAAATGAGTAGATGGAAACTAAACCCGGCTGTAACCCATAGCTGCACCATAGCAGTAAAATAGCAGCTCAAAGCTTGAATTAAGAAAACAGTAGCTTAAAAAGGCTAAAATTAGCAAGACAATAGCTAAATGTTGCAGTTAGCAGAATGGTAGCTACTAGCTATCCTTTTATTGTCTGTTTGATCCATTAAAGCTAAACATTCTCTGTTCTGGACCGTCCATCGCTCTGAGGTGTCCTGCAGACCTTCAGCTTCTCACCGTCTCCGGCTGGTTTTCGAAGATCTCCCGGGCCTCCTCTTTGTTGCACAGCTCCTCGATGCACTCCCGCTCCAGGTTGCCCTTCTTGCTCTCCTCAAACAGAGAGTTGGCTCGGCGGTGCCGGCTCAGGAACTGGGAGGCCGTGATCCGGCTCTGGACTGGGACAGAAGGTCTCGTTTAGCTGGATGTTTGGGTTGTTGCAGGAAGGTCGTTTTGTTTTTAAAATTCATATTTAGCTTTTAATTTTGAAACAATCCTCAGGCATTTCACCTCTTTTCTGCTTTTGATCAACAAAATAAAAGCCTCTATTTTAAGCTACCTTAAAGAACACAATAACCTTTAGATATTTTTTTAAACGGTGTATGATGTTTATGTCTTACGACAGTTAAAACCAATATGCTGCCAGCTGTTTTTTAAAGATGTTTTTGTACATCTGTTCAAGACCCCACAACTGGTGTTTTATGACCCACAGTGGGATCCTGACCCCAACTTTAATAACCACCAAATCGATCAACTGAAGGATGATTCACCTCTCATGGGTGAGATGTGTTTGTAAAACTTCACGACGAAACATTCAGCTACTCTTCATCTGCTGTAAATACATATTAAGACCTCACAATTCATCTTTCATCCTCCAATTAAAACTTTAAAAAAATAATAATTTGCATTTCCTGCAAAAACTTAGTTTTGCTGAAATCTGCTGAAGTTCAGCTGAAAAAGTTCATTAGCGAAACTGTTAGTGAGATAAATGTGAACAGTTGATTTTAACTGAAAGTAGAAAAACAAAAGTGAAAATAGCAAAAATGCGTAAAAAATAACTGAAAAAAAGGCATTATTTTAACTAAAATTAGCAGAAAATTATTAGCAAAAATGTAACTTAAGAAGCAAGGTGAAACTATGAAGAAAATATAAAATCAGTAAGGCAGACTGCTTATATTAGCTTTGTCAGCCATCTTAAATTGCTAATTATAGCTTTCAGCGTGTGGTGGGGATCGCTCACAGCTACTACCATACCAAACTTTAGCTCAATATCCATAAAATTGTTTTAGTTAAAGATGAAAGAACTGAACTGAGGACAAAACAGATGAAAATAAAGATAAATTGTAACTAAATAGTAAGTAAAACTATCAAATAGAAGCTAAAAGTGGCAGAAACAAGTTTAATTTAGCAGACACGATGAAGGAGAGTAAAAAAAATCACAGTGGCAGGAAAACAAGAAAAGAAACACAAACAAGTGGAAATTTGTTATAAAATAGTTAAAAGCTGAAACTAGCCAAAAGATAACTGTAGCTGAAAAAGCTTAAATTAGCAAAGAGAAGCTGAAAGAGTTTGCTGAATTAGGCAGTAAGAAGCTGAAATTATCACAAAATGTGAACTTAGCTGCAAGAAGTTGAACATAGTTGGAAAAGTGGCTAAAAAGTTAGACAACAGCTGAAATCAGTAAAAATCAGCTGAAAGAAGCATAAAAAGCTAAAATAAGTAGAAAAAGCTGATAGCTGAGCAGAGGAATAGCTGAAAGAAGCAGAAAGCTAGCTAACATAGCAAAAAAAGCTAAACGTAACAAAATAGGAAAACAAAAGAAGTTGAAATTAGCAGAACCAGAGCAAAAGGTAAAACTTACAGTAAAGATTTATAAGGATTTTAAGGATGTTGAAGACAGCTATTTATTTTATAAGAAGTAAGAGTGGCAGAAAAAGCTAAATAGCTAAAAACAAAAGTATAAATTGCTGAAATACTAAGTCATAGCAGCCATGGCACACAGTAAATGAGCTGAACGTCTTGATATATGAATTGTTGAAATAGCACAAAAACTGTCAAACGCAAAACATGCTGAAGAAAAATGGATCATCTCAGTTCAGAAAACAGCTGAAATGAGTAAAAATCATCTGAAAGAAGCAGAAGTTTTTCACAGCATTAACATGGTACACAGCTTCAGGAAGCCTGAAGTTTTTGATCAACTTGGTCCTTTGAAGAATGTCTAAACCAAAGGGTTAGGGTTAGGAGAGGGTTAAAATAAAACAGTTTATTCTTGGATTTGGTTCATTATAATTTAAAAAAAAAGACAAAACATGAGTGATCCCTGTTGGACTGAAGCTGTTTCATGATCTGCTCTGAAAACTGGAGCTCATTGCGACACAGTTGTTTTCCTGAAACTAACCCTGCTTCTCGTTGCCTTCAGTTTCTCTGGGACCCTCAAAAGTCCAAACCCTCCCAGCTGGACCGGGTAGCAAACTGGATCAGAGTTAAGCCAAAACCTCACGAGTGCAACAAAATTACAAACCAGTGTTTTTACTTACACGGATCAGCGTCCATTAGAGTCACCAGGAACAGGAGACAAGCCAAAGGTGTCCCAACAGCCCATTTCTGTCCCCACATGGTCCTTCTCCCCGCTGGGACAAACTTTGGCTCTGGGTGAAGACTGAGCAGATTTGTGCAAGAGGAGAGGGGGAAAAAAAACTTTATTCTTCCCGAAAATGTTGTTGTAGAGAGAGAGAGGAGGGGGAGAGCAGTAAGCAGGCAGCTGGGGAGCTCTGCTGACACACTTTCTGCCTTTTGTTGACTCAAAGTGGCTGAACTCAGGCAGAAAATTGGTTTAAAAAACACAAGACAGGACAGGAGGCCCCAGAGCACAAAGGGGTTCCAGAAACACTCATTCATTAATCTACGGAAGACTATTTCTGACACTAAATATTACTTTTCAGACTCATAATGACTTAGTTTCTCATAAAAATCTAATGACTCAATATTACAAAATAACTTAACTCACAATAAGGACAGTAACGCATATAAACGACTTATCTGATGATGACTGAGTACCACATAACTACTACTTAATATCTCATAAGTGACTTAGTACTTCCTAATAGTGACTTAAAACCTCATAACTATGACCTAATATCTCAGAAAAGTGACACAACCTCATAACAATGACTTATCTCATGACTCAGTACCATATAATAATCACTTAGTACCTCATAATGACGCAGTACCTCATAATAGTGAATACATACCTCATAACTATGACTTAGTATCTCAGAGTAGTGACTTGGTACTTCAAAAGAGTAACTTAGTATTTCAAAATAATATTTATATTACTGATATTACTGAATACTGAACACTGATATTGTATTGTATATGGATGTGCTGGTGCAAGAGTATGGCTGTGTCCAAAACAACAGGCCGGGTCCTCCAGAGGACCCAGACTACCCTGTCGAGGTGGGCCAGGTCCTTGGTAGACCGGGAAGACCGGAAAAAAAGAGGCTGTGAATTTGGACGGTCTAGCCTCCCCTCCTTACCCCGGCGTACGTCATGTCACCTAGCAACTGTGACGATGCTAAACAGAAGCAAAACTAGATCAAAATTAGAAAAATATCGATATATTAGCATTATTAATTTCACAAAACAATAAGATTAACTCAAAGGTAAAATTTGAAGAACTAATTGACCCACTGTAGGTG